GCAGCTTTCACAGCTGCAGATGCAGCTGCTGTGTCAGCAATCAACACTCCCTGTCCCTAGTGGATCAGGAACAGGTGTACCTCCCTCGAACCACGGCGAAAGCCATGAACATCCTCGGGAATACACCTAGAAGGACTTCACAAACGCCAAACCCCGCAACTTCAATGGTACTGGTGGGGTTATGGTGTTAAGGCAGTGGATTGAAAAGATGGAATCTGTCTTTGAAATCTGCGCTTGCCAAGAAAGCAACAAGGTCAAGTTCGCAGCTTGTACCTTCTCTGATAGGGCACTAACATGGTGGAAGGCCATGTTAAGTACCTGACTCTGGTGGTGGCATATTCCATCAACTGGGAACACTTGAAGGACATGCTGATGAGAGAGTACTGTCCTGGGGAGAAATACAAAAACTCGAGCAGAACTCTGGAGCCTGCAAATGGTTGGATCTGACATAGGAACCTACACGAATAGGTTCTGTGATCTGGCAAACTTATGCCCTGACATGGTTGCTCCCCAGAGCAAAAAGATAGAGAGATATATATGGGGACTGTCTCCCCAGATCCAGTCAAGTGTTATAGCTTCCAGGCCTATTACTTTTGATAGTGCCAAGGAACTGGCACAATATCTCATAGATCACCGGAAACCTCAGAACCCAAAAACCCTACACCTGTACCACGAAAGTCCAACCCGAATACAACAAGAAGGGGTGGAATAAGAGGAAAAGAGGGGCTTCGCAAGGATCCTCCAATGAACAACAACTTTGGCGATCAATGCTGCCACAGTGACTCCTATGTCCCTACGAACCCCTTACCAGCAAAAACTTATGCTGGAACCCTTCCGAAGTGCACAAATGCAGCTTCCACCACACGGACCTTGCAAGGAGATGTTCTGCTCCAACTGCAACAGGAAGGGGCACACCGCCCGTTACTGCAAGGCTCCAACAGCTCAAGCCGCCCAGGTTCCTAATGCCGGTATGGGCCAAGCGCTACGGTTGTGGCGAAGTGGGCCATTAAAGAGGAACTGCCCTAAAGCGGGATGGCTGGTGGAGTAGGAAGAGTTATGGCCCTAGGCCATGAGGAAGCAGTAGCTGATCCTACGATAGTTACTGGTACGTTCCTCCTCGATAACTCATATGCTTGCATACTTTTCGATAGTGGAGCCAGAGAAAAGTTTTGTAAGTCA